ACAGGCCTCACTACTCAACACAACGATCGGACCAAGAGACTGCCGCTGGCAGCCATATGTGAAAATGTGACCAGGCCGTAAGTTTAGTTTCGAACCAAGCGCGCTCTATTCGCTGAGCTAGCCTGTCGACCCGTTTGCTTTACGATCTTCCACACACACACGTTTATGATCCCACACACACACAGACACACATATACACACACACACACACATACACAAGCACAGAGAGGAAGGACGCAAAAACAAGAACGCGATTGGGTTATAGCAAGGCGCCAATAATCGCTGCTTTTAGCTGCAATAAAGCGATTTATTATTTTTATAATTTCTTCAAGTTCACTGTCTTTCTAGCCGAATATATTGCGCATCGTAGGGCGACGCGGAGAATTTAATACGAGCATTGACGATACGTTTTCTGAGGTTTGTTTGACCTTGCTAGCTCAATCGGCCGTCTGTTTACATATTTAGTGATGTGCGATTCTTTTGCAAGGAACTTCAGTGTATGACTGTTTCGTCGAATCTGCGATGTTATCCCAATTTCCATCATAATGTTTACGATTAAATTTATATTGATGAATTGGCTTATCCATCTTACTCTGTTGAATACGTCAATTTCAGGTAATGAATAGAGATAGTGGCACGCTTAAAGCGACATAATGACAGCCCTAAGGTGCGACCATGTCCCACGGAACATGCCCAATGTCAAACTGCTGTTCACTCTCGTTTACATAAGAAGGTTGTGCGGTGCTAGTAGTTAACACACGGCAAGCAGATGGACGTTTAGAAAACATTATTATTATTATTATTGCACTGTATAATTTTATTGTTGCTTCAATGTGTGCTCGGCTGTTTGTCTGCACGTACATTTCTACGTAATTTACTCGAAAAACTTACGTTTTTCGTCTTTACAATGCTATGCATTTAAATTCTATTCCACACGACAGTAAGAGTAAGGGTTTATTATTCGCAGAATAAGTGGAAATCGACGCTTTTCGAGAGTTTCCGCTAAAAAGAGCAGGCTAAAAAAAACAAAACTTATTTGCTCCGCACATATCCGGTTAGCCTAAGTTTTTTGGTATACTTCTAAACATGTAAGTATGTATACTTAAACGTGTCCGTGTCACAGTTTATTCTTGCTTTTCTTCATTCGCTAACATTGAATTCAATTTGCGTCTGTCTTTGCTGCCGCCTTTTATGCACGGATTCTACGTATACCGGCACGTGGCATATGCCCTGTACGTTGGAATTGTATGCAAATATAATATCACTCTACGAATTTGCTTTCTCCCACTTCTCCACTGTTATTCCTCGTCCTGGCCTAAAATCCTCGAAAGCAAAGAGGACTTGTGTCTGAGGGTTACGTGGAGGGAGGAACACGCTTACTCTTAAAACCTACCTCTAGTCCGTTTTGCTTTTCTCTCTCTAAACGGTAAAGTGACGAGCCAGTTTCTTTAGATACGGAGACTCTTCCTGGCCATCTTTCGATTACGCGCTCGGCAATAGCGGTGCAGGCGACGGAAATAAGTCGAGCTCCGCTCCATTCCGTCACAGGAGACCTCCTCTTAGATCAACCTGCGCTGTAGTTTAGCTTTTTGTTTGTTCTACTATTGTGATGAGTTGCATATTTTCAAAAACCTTGATACATGTCTTTGATTTTCTGAGAAGTTCTTATGGTTCTCGATTTGCATCTCTGGTATCGAATCGAAATAGCACGGCCACTAACATAGGCCAATTGTTGCTTTCGTTGTGACCTACAGGGCTAAGTGTGCATTTGCGACGACGGGCGGTGAAGGGGGCCCTGTTACGATGTGAACGAATATTGCTACTTTATAAAGATTTGCCCGCCCAAACCGATCGAGTATACGTGTTTGTGTGTCATGTCATGTAGAACAGCCAATGGCGTATTATTGCTTACTAAACTCTGTTGGGAAGACGAGTTAACCGTGAAAAAAGGAAGCGGACACAGAAATGGCCTGCACTTGGAACACACTTCCGGCATAGGTATTAATTGATATTTCCTATTTTCATGTTGTTTGAATTCCGATATTGTAGCTAGTTAACATTCGACAGAACCCTGTCCCTTCGGTTCCCCCCTGTCCGTTCTGTTCTTCTAGACTCTTGTTTAGATGCAAGACATAACTGAGAGTTTTTTTTTTCTTTTTTCATATAGTTCAGCTTTTTCACAGCAAACGTTAGAAATCAATAACTGTTTATTACTCTTTGTTACAATTAATAGCCACTTAATAATAGTATGTACAAAAGGCCAATAAATTTAGTTGGAGCAATCAATCGTATCGTTGTCCTATTAATATCTAGACAACAGCTCAGCTCAGCGTTTCAAGCGCTCCTGTATACTGGTTCTTTCTGGAATATAATAGTAGAATATTTAAATCTGCTTAGAGAGCATGGGCTCGGAGCTAATGGTCCTTATACACAAACGGTTTTCGGGTCTGGAGGCAAAGAGACAAGATGGCGCTCAATAAAAATCAAAATGAATTTCACGACTTTAAAACTTGCTTCACTTCCGAGATCATGATACTTCATTCATTTACTGCTGCACAGTCACTACGGAATTATTGCCAAGACACATTACTTCATTGGGCATAATACATGAATCCCTATTGCTCGATCCGAGCTTTGTATCGACAAGCCTTCATGCTTGTTTTTTTTCCTACTCCTCTGCCCTTGCTAAACGTGCTAGGCCGACGCGTCGCGCGACCTAGTCGTTCTTCTAGCGCTGCTGTACAATAAACAAATATTAAGTCAAGTCTGCAGCTTCCTATTCCCAAAACGACTTCACAGTAGCCTATCCACCTTCGGCCCACTATAGGACTACAAACATGGTGGCCCATGTCCTCTATGGAATCAGCGCCGCCTTAGCTTCGGAACAGAACCTAGGTTTTGTTGCTTCAATACAGATTGTTGTTTCTCGGAAAGCCATTGATTTTTAGTCACAACTCAACAAATCCACCGCCTCCCTATCAATGCACACGTTAGCGGTGCGGGACCTGTCGCCCAGTTCTGCAGCTTGAACACTAAAAAATAGAAAAATAAAACTGAAAAGAAAAATACTCAACTGATAAATTACCCGTAATTTCATGGTCGTTGCCAATGGCACAAACATAGGCGAAATCAGCCTCTCATGCGAACCCATATGTCCATGACAAAAATCCAACCTGTCCAGCCCTTCAAAATTCACCCCACTTGAACCTTCAGAAAGGCATCGTTGGACTGACCTGAATTAACCTGGTTGTTTTAAATAATCGTTTGGAATAAATAATTACAGGGAATTGCTCTCAGTTTCTCTAGCCTTACTCACAACCAGCTCGTTCAAATTGGACGTCAAAAAAAAAAAAAAAGAAAAGAGAGACTAAACTGAATGGAACTGATTGGGTTGGAGCGTTGACTTGCGTCGCTCGTCTCATTATTACAGCTAGTATAATATGTAATTTGTATCCCATCGTTTTAAGTTATCGAAGAGGAAGCGTTGTTAACTACCGGCATGGGTTATTGGAGGGTTGCATATGCGATTGATTCACCTTTTACTTACACGACGCTTGTAGCAACAAAGTTAGCTCCTCCAACGCGTCTGTTAAGGGCAGTACGTCACGCTGAGAGAATTGTGTCGACCGCGTCATTTTTGTGCATGGTCTGTGGGGCTGAGCCTCTCCATAATCAGCGTAATTTTGGCTCATAGGAGCGATTTCGACGACGCTCTTTCATGCATTTCGATGTTATTGATGCATTAAAGCAGACCTGTGGCATCAAATACGGTCCAATAGCAGAAAATAATAGATAGATCAGTTTCAGGCTCACATTACCAAATCTCGCCAGGCCATTGGCGATCAGCTGTAAGATTTCGGATGTATGCTTTTGTGACCTGTTCAATCGATTCGCTGGAACCGATGAGTTATCAATCACCGAAACTAGGACAGAGCCGTATTCTAGTGATTGGCTTACCTACACGCACAATAGTAAAAGGCAGATATGTCAATAAGTGAAAAAAGACAAAGAAAAAGAAATAAAGGCAGCACGGGACAACGCCGGCCGTGGCGCAGGTCTACGACCGGCCATCATAGTCGCCATTACCAATAGGCTGTACCAATACGAAGACGATTCTGTGTTAATAACTATAAAAATAAGTTGCACGCCATCGATCTTAGTTCAAGAAGTACAACAAGTACGAAGAGCTATATCCCGAGCCTATAAATTTCATAGAAATTTTGTAAGATTTCGTAGAAGGTATGATCGATCTGTTTTATGTCACTTAGACTGATAGACATATATTAACATACACCTTTATATCAAGATCAGCGTTTAGAGCATGATTTAGTAAAGCAGCACGAGAGTTAATATTCATAGATTGGAACATTCTGTGAGATTGAACGTGTACTGCCCAGATAGATGTCCTCGGTTCGAAAACGTGCAGTGCATAGGACGTTTGTTGGATAAACTGTAACGTTAGTGCTTTTCGGGAAGTTGGCATCCCAGTGATGAACTATAGTATCGCAAGACGTGGGCGTTCGATTGCGTTGGTAAAATATCTTCTCGTGCCTCGAATGTCGTTATACCGCTAAATGATCACTATACATTTAGAATAGACCAGTGACAATGAATGTTTTTCCTTTTTTTTCTTCCAATTTCGTCCGAACGCACGACGCCTAAGTTGGCCAAACGTGATCATTAAGAAACTCTACAAACCAACAGCGGCAGCAAAACGTTTAAGCTACGAATTGTGCCAAATCGATTATCGTCTTTGTCGTTGTTACTAAAATTCTACTACGGAAAAATCAAAAGCTTCGACAAGTGTAGCAGATACGGTTACGGGCGGTCATTGTGTACAAACGTTAATAGAAACCGGTAAAACAGAACTCTTTCTAACGCCTTATTTTCCTCAGCAGTCCAATAAAGGAAACGAATTATAACTTTAAGGGATAAGTTACCGTCGCATGTCCGTCATGCGGTTGTAGGTGTTTGAGAAACGTGTATCCTCAAGAGCTCACCTTTAACTTTTCCACTCTCACTCTCCCACGAGCGTGATATGTTACGATCCTCAGATGTAGCCAACAACTGCTACTGTCCTTGACTACACTCTCTCATCTAAATAAATCCAGATATGATGGAGCTTCAACACAAAATTATCCGTTTTATCCGATCAATATCAGTTTAACTCTTTTTTCGTTGATATTATAATTTGTATCACCGCACACACATAAATAAGTTATCCAAATTCACTCGAAGCAAGTCATTGGACACCATTCAAGTTTTTTCGCTCATTTTTTAGTCCACACTATCAAACCGGGCCCTGAACTACGCCGGCCAAACACTCGAATAATCTGCCGATTGTTGCTCTTGTGCAATAATGGTCTATCCTTTGGTCCGCGATTCGAATCGAAGTTCGCGCACTTTCGATGAAGAGCGGCGTATTCCCACCTTCAGGTCTCGATGGCAACTGACCTAAGCGAGAAGATCGGCTGCACGTCGCCAGAGGGTCGCCCTCTCTCACGAACATCCCTCTCCACACAGGAGAGCATCATCCTAGAGGTAAGCCCACGATCCGTCAGTTGGGCTCATACCGTTCCGCAGACAGGAGCTAGTGTATAGACATAGCACAGCGAACTACGAGATCCGGCCATTGTTAATCCTAAATCAACGGATTTATTTACGCTTAGCAGAAACGTGCTTTGATTAACTGGATTCATTATACGAGTCTAAGTCCACGTACAAAGAACGTCATCTAGGATAAACAGTTCCGTGTAAAACTTTAACTGAAACTGCTATGTCTTGCACAGATCAGACACTGTAGCTTCGGTGCTACGCACACATAACTCGGTTAAGTTTTTCCTTCCTTTTGTGAAAAGCACACAATAGCACTAGCGGAGCTCAGTCCTACATCGAACCTTGAATTGACAGTCTACCTCTATACATTTATATAGACATCGCATGTATCTTTAATTGCGATTGATAAAAAGATCTATTAATCAGGAACCACGCACGACAATTCTGATACCTTCGAATCAGAACCCTGTTAATTCTATTAACTATTTCTCGAGCAACGTCCCTGGAACGCTTTATACTTGAAACTAAAACGGGATAGCCGTTCGAGCACTGCATTGACAAACTGCATAAATTTCTTTTTACTATGATATTTCGGGTTAGAATAAGATTTTAGCCTACGCGTATTTTGGCAGACGACGACGCTGGCCGGCTTTTTTTAGAAGAATTTAATGGAATCTGATGCTGGACACCATTGTCAAAAGTGCGTGATGTTGAACGTATGCAACTTTGTTGAATATAAATACGCTTCTTCAACATCCGCGTATATTCCCCATCACCTGCAGCAATGCCAATGAGTACCTCATTGACATTCAAATGAAATCCCTATTAAGTTAGCGTAACACTGAGCATCGTATTCAACAAAAAAAAAAAAATAAATAACAAGGACTCGACATTCACTAAGGAGAAGAAATGGGACTGGAAGTTGGCTCTGAGGAGCAAAAGTTTTTAGAGGTGCTCAACACGATGATAACAACCCATAGTTGAGGTAATAAACATAATTTGGTATTCTAGCTAGAACGAACTAGTGTTTTTTTGCGTATACTCCATTATCTTATATATCACATATCTTTTAATCTTAACTTGAGGTCTATAAAAGCTTCAGTGCAAATTCAAGGCGTCGTTTCAATTTGAATTCTGTAGTAATCCAGATACTTGTAATAGAAATCAGTAATCGATAAAGGAACAATTTTGTATAAATTTCGATCGTCTATAGAATAGTGAAGGTAGCTATACGACCGCCATATCTTAATGTTCGCGCCTATAAAATGCTCAGCTAGATACAATTGGACGCAAATGATGGTAGTTTCTTGGCTCTTCTATGAAAGCTTGTTAAGCTCACAACGGGAGTCGAATCGCTCACCAGCGAACGGGCGAACATGTTTCCTCTAGTTTACGCTCGTAGCTAGTGGTCGTCTACCGTTCTGCCCTGCTTTCGCGTAGGCCAGCCTCTCGTTATTTGCCGTTTAGGAACTTCACAAGTTATCCTAGGTCTATAAGCCAACCTGTATACGAATGTGCGCGTGGACGAGTAAAGCGAATTCAATTTCACATCTTCTGCCACCAAGGATACGCTGTCGTTTGTCTAGTCGATAAACCCGGTCTATACGTCAGTCGCCTACTTCTGTTAACATATATACTTCGGTGCTTCGGGAAAACGCTGATTCTCTCCTCAGTCGTCTGGTTATCCTCGCTATATTCCGCCTTCTGCCGTTGTCGGCTAGTCCAGTCGTATTTTTCATGTTGTCCTGTGGGTCATCGTGGTTACGACCTGTATGCAGGTTCGTGTATATGCATAGGTATATGAATCGCTAGGCTCTATGCTGCTTCGAGTGGGGTCTGCAAAGTCGCCTGTGACCGAACGGCGGGCTGCAGTCTTTGAAGGTTCTAACTGCCATACGCCACATTGTGCACATGCCGCTCATGATGACGGTCAGCGCTGTTTCTGCTGCCGTATAATCATGTGGTAGTTCGTCAGAACTCCCGCTGAGGTCGAACAGAAGCCTTTCGACAGAAGCATGCTTTGAAGAGGTTTGAGCCTGTTGAGCAGACCTCTAAAATAGGAAGGTAACTCAGTCGTAGTCTCGAGTGGTGTTCCACCGCACAAAGTTGTTAGGCACGCAGACGATTTCTTCGGTTGTTGGCCAGTCAGGCGTATTGGAGGGGGCTTGAGCATGCGATACAATGGCGACAGCGATGATGATCATTGATTCATTACTGATTTATGGGATAGGTCAGTTTGTTCCGAAGAAACCGCAGAATCAATACTTAGTGTTCCCCTGCGTTTCTATACCCCGCTATCTCAACTATTTCTTGAATCTGCTCGCATTGTCTATGTGCCATTCGTCTGATCAACTTCATTCAATTCATTTCTTTTAAACGACCAGACCAGATGAAATTCTAGCTTGTATGAAGCAAGCCTCCATAGAGCAATCTTCTACCGTGCCGCTACACGCGCCTCTACAGCTCACAAATATTACTGATGTACTAATATGTTCACGCATATATTTTGTAAATTGCTTCAACTAACGTAAACATCAACAGCAGCGGAAAATAGACGATTCGTCGGACGTCAATGAAGGCATCGGGATCTCGCCGCTTACAATAGAGCTGCATATCATATTTATGTCAATTGATAGATTCCTTCCTATAGCATTAAATCTGAAGGTGTTATATTTGTCCAATGCCCCGACAGTCGTTTCATCCGAAGGGCGAAAAGTAGATCGAGCGACGAATCGCGGCTAGCTATGGTATTCATGTGGCTGGTGGAAGTTTAGCCTGAATGCTCTGCTTCTATAATCCATTACTCTACACCTTCTTTTGAGAATGAAGCATTTAGCAAGCTGTCCGTTGACAAACTGTCGAATACCAGCCAATGAATAGTAATCCTCAAATAGATACCTCCGTATTCTCTACCTAGCATAAAGTAACCGAAATAGGCTTGAGCGGATTAGGTCCAGCAAAAATACGACGTATTCTATTATATATTAGCGCTCGTTGTGCGGGCGCTGGTGGGATTGTCGCGAGAAATATGTTTAGGATAGGGTGGGACGCATGAAGGAAGCGCCGAAGCTCTGCGACGATACTCCAGTCGAGCAAAATACGAGCATAGCAAACAGATGGGTTTCATGCGAAAAATCGGGTCGCGACAAGATATGCAAATAGGACTCTAGATTAGCGTTGCCTCGGGTTCACCACAAGCGGCTGTGATGCGATTCTGCGTCAGATTGTATTGAAATCGTACAATGAAGTGACAACCTGCACCTAATATCAGACGGTTTGCTAGGCGCGCGCATGCACACACACACACACATGTATGTATATATATGTGTAACCCTTGTAGTCGCTTTGGAAGGCGACAAAAAAATTGTCCTAATAGTTATGCTTTAGCCCGTGTTGTCCGCATGACAATGCATTGGGACATTAGTGTAATTTGCAGGCCGCTTTATGACCTTAATGAAGTCAGCATTGCTGCGAGGGAAAACTGTTTACATTCGTCTTGATCAGACCCTCGAAAGACTCAAGGGTCTTTTGCGTAACAGATTGGATACATATGTCGTTCAGTTTCTTTCGTTCTATAATTATGCTGGTCATAAAATAGTATAGGAATTAATGTGTGCATATCGTAATACGGTATAACAGCACCGAGACTGAACTTTTTATAGATGTTCTGACATTGATTTACCGAACTTACCGTACATAGTCAATTTACTGACAGGCAGCTGAACTTACCGTTCAGTGTCACACGAGACAGAACTCGTTGGAATAGACTCACAGATCGGGTATATTTTAGGCGGGAAAAATGCCAACTTTTTGAACGTACGTGCCCAGCACGATACGGCGCATTGGCGCATGAATTGCAGTACCCATCGTGGAATAACTAATCCCATACGAGCAGCATTGTTCGCCAACAAACTAGAAAATTGCATTTCCAGGATAGCTTTTTGTATTTCTAAACCTTGACATGGGTTTTGCTGTGTTACAAAGTTCAAGTGTAAAATTTCCAAATCAGGCTAAGCCTACTTCCCTAGAAATGGTTAAAAAGTAACTTGATTTTTAAAATTATTCAAAGATAATTTAGTTCGTTTTAGATTATAAAATCGATATCGTGCCTCTGAATGTTTGCATGAAGATAGCGTTTTTACTGTGGAATTTAAAGATCTGCGGAAGGTTGACCGAAAAGGCGAACTGCTCGTTCAGAAAAGACAATGGCGGTACCTTATGCTGTAGACTTGAATATTATAATTATGCTATATGTAGTGTGTAATCCTCTGGCAAAGAAATCACCGCTCATCATGGCTCATGCGATTTTACATGAACAAAAAACAGATCGCTCGAATAGGACCCAACGGATCTTTGCACGATGCTGCGATTCGCATTAGAAGGCAAATTATCTAGGAAGCTATATCACCACACCCTTGTTTTAATCTATCGCTAGCGTCTAACAACCCATGTACATCATTACGATACAGAATGATGCCTCATCAATGACTGATAGATTCGTTATCTACGTGGGCCTGCAGCCGTCTAATGACCTTCAAAGGACATATCTGACCTGTTAAAGCAGGAGCAGCTTTGTTCGTTTTCTCTTTTTATTAGAGAATCACAGCCGATTCATCCGGGTCGCAACCTATCATCAAATGTAATTTAGTTGTTTCTCAACGATTGCTTAATTGACTGTCGCCAACAAAGGACGCTTTACCTGATCTAGGAGCCTGTCCAGTTTAATTAAAAAATTGAACCATTTATTTTATGCCTTTTATTCTATCAGTGTATTAAATATGCATAACGAAATCACCCAGCAATAAATGTAAAAGCCAAAATTTTCAGCTGTTCGTAATTGTAATGAAAAATATGATACC